CATGGCCGGGTGTCGGCTCATCATGTCCCATGGCCGGGTGTGTGCTCATCATGTCCCATGGCCGGGTGTAGGCTCATCATGCCCCATGGCCGGGTGTCATCTCATCATGCCCCATGGCCGGGTGTCATCTCATCATGTCCCATGGCCGGGTGTTGGCTCATCATGCCCCATGGCCGGGTGTCATCTCATCATGTCCCATGGCCGGGTGTTGGCTCATCATGCCCCATGGCCGGGTGTCATCTCATCATGTCCCATGGCCGGGTGTTGGCTCATCATGCCCCATGGCCGGGTGTCATCTCATCATGTCCCATGGCCGGGTGTTGGCTCATCATGCCCCATGGCCGGGTGTCATCTCATCATGTCCCATGGCCGGGTGTTGGCTCATCATGCCCCATGGCCGGGTGTCATCTCATCATGTCCCATGGCCGGGTGTTGGCTCATCATGCCCCATGGCCGGGTGTCATCTCATCATGTCCCATGGCCGGGTGTTGGCTCATCATGCCCCATGGCCGGGTGTCATCTCATCATGTCCCATGGCCGGGTGTTGGCTCATCATGCCCCATGGCCGGGTGTCATCTCATCATGTCCCATGGCCGGGTGTTGGCTCATCATGCCCCATGGCCGGGTGTCATCTCATCATGTCCCATGGCCGGGTGTTGGCTCATCATGCCCCATGGCCGGGTGTCATCTCATCATGTCCCATGGCCGGGTGTTGGCTCATCATGCCCCATGGCCGGGTGTCATCTCATCATGTCCCATGGCCGGGTGTTGGCTCATCATGCCCCATGGCCGGGTGTCATCTCATCATGTCCCATGGCCGGGTGTTGGCTCATCATGCCCCATGGCCGGGTGTCATCTCATCATGTCCCATGGCCGGGTGTTGGCTCATCATGCCCCATGGCCGGGTGTCATCTCATCATGTCCCATGGCCGGGTGTTGGCTCATCATGCCCCATGGCCGGGTGTCATCTCATCATGTCCCATGGCCGGGTGTTGGCTCATCATGCCCCATGGCCGGGTGTCATCTCATCATGTCCCATGGCCGGGTGTTGGCTCATCATGCCCCATGGCCGGGTGTCATCTCATCATGTCCCATGGCCGGGTGTTGGCTCATCATGCCCCATGGCCGGGTGTCATCTCATCATGTCCCATGGCCGGGTGTTGGCTCATCATGCCCCATGGCCGGGTGTCATCTCATCATGTCCCATGGCCGGGTGTTGGCTCATCATGCCCCATGGCCGGGTGTCATCTCATCATGTCCCATGGCCGGGTGTTGGCTCATCATGCCCCATGGCCGGGTGTCATCTCATCATGTCCCATGGCCGGGTGTTGGCTCATCATGCCCCATGGCCGGGTGTCATCTCATCATGTCCCATGGCCGGGTGTTGGCTCATCATGCCCCATGGCCGGGTGTCATCTCATCATGTCCCATGGCCGGGTGTTGGCTCATCATGCCCCATGGCCGGGTGTCATCTCATCATGTCCCATGGCCGGGTGTTGGCTCATCATGCCCCATGGCCGGGTGTCATCTCATCATGTCCCATGGCCGGGTGTTGGCTCATCATGCCCCATGGCCGGGTGTCATCTCATCATGTCCCATGGCCGGGTGTTGGCTCATCATGCCCCATGGCCGGGTGTCATCTCATCATGTCCCATGGCCGGGTGTTGGCTCATCATGCCCCATGGCCGGGTGTCATCTCATCATGTCCCATGGCCGGGTGTTGGCTCATCATGCCCCATGGCCGGGTGTCATCTCATCATGTCCCATGGCCGGGTGTTGGCTCATCATGCCCCATGGCCGGGTGTCATCTCATCATGTCCCATGGCCGGGTGTTGGCTCATCATGCCCCATGGCCGGGTGTCATCTCATCATGTCCCATGGCCGGGTGTTGGCTCATCATGCCCCATGGCCGGGTGTCATCTCATCATGTCCCATGGCCGGGTGTTGGCTCATCATGCCCCATGGCCGGGTGTCATCTCATCATGTCCCATGGCCGGGTGACATCTCATCATGTCCTATGGCCGGGTGTCACCTCATCATGTCCCATGGCCGGGTGTCATCTCATCATGCCCC